AAATTCAAACTGTATGATTGGCAAAGTCTACGAAGGGTAAAAAGGCCCCTTTAGTCAACTTAAGAAGGAAATTACAGTCGTCATTCCTGGTGCTTACAAAACGTAGCTTTTTGGCTGCAATTCAAAATAAAATTCTAAAATCAAAACTAAGCCCAAGTTAATTTATAAAGTCTAGTTCTCGTAGGGAGCATTCGCTATAGACTTTAAAAGCGCTATCGAAGAATTATCTTCTAGCCTTGTGAAACAAAGCAAAGGTTAAAAGAAGGGCTTGTAAGAGCCTTTTATTCGGACACAAACTTAACAATTACCCAATTTGGGTTTCCACAAGCCAGGCACTTCTGGCGAGGTATGTGCCTACATACGGAGCACTTTTTTTTAAATACATAAAATTTTAATTAAACACACATGTTTTTGAGTACAATGGGATATAAAACTATGAATTTAAATGGGATTTTATAGAACGTTTCATTATTTTTTTAAATATAGGCATTATTTGGTAAAATTATAGTGAAAAATTTTCATTTACGCCAGATCTCCTGTACCAGATTCTAATGAATATACTTCAGTAATCTTTACACAGTATATAAATAACTTACTTACCTGTGTTCTGTAGCAAAAGATTTGCTGTAATTATAAAATGTTTTGAAATATTCGAAACTTGGTACAAAAACTCAAAATTAAAACCAAAAAAAATCCTCTTTACTTCAAAATACTGTCAATAAAATCAATAAATAAATACAAAGAGGTCCGATTTTGCTACAGAACACAGCTAAAGATGAACAAAACATTTTGGCAAAATTTCATTTCAATATTGTATATACATTTTGAAAATTAACGTAACCGCAATCAAAAGTAACGTAAAACACAATTTCTCAGAAAACGCATTTAAAGATTTTAATACAGCACAAAACATTTTGTAGCCACTTTAGACCTTTAAAACTCGCCGTATTTGTATATTAGGCCCTCTTTTACTTCATTATTAACTAATTTTGACTTTCTTTTAGCATTTTTCTGGATGACTATGTTGCTTGTAGAGATTGGCGTTTCGATTTCTGAATTCGCTGTTTCTCTATTCCCGTGTAGCTTTCAAGCATAATAGGATTTATTTCTATTTCTGTACACCTGAAAATAGGTAAAAGTCCTGAATATCTTGAATTAAATAGTAATACAGCAATATGTGCACCTGAAAGCAATGTTTTCAATTGGATAAAAGTTTCTTTCGGTAAAATAGTCCTGAAAAGGTTATTAAAACTCTCATTATTGTTTTGAGTCTTCCCATGTAGGTATTTTATCAGAAACGTGTCGCACAGTGAAAGATGTGTTGCTTTTACAGCTTTTATACTGTTTAATAATTAGAAAATAGTTGTTTAAATTTATTGTTTACATTTTTACGACCATTTAAATGCCAACTTGCGGCATCCAAATATTCACTTCCGGTTTATTTTTTATACTATAACTTTGCTTCTAGTTATCGTAAGAACAAAAATAAAGCATTTTTGGAAACCTAAATGTATGGCCTATAAAATGAATAAATAAAAAAAAATTCGAAAATTTTCCAAAACGACGAATTTAGTGTAGGCACATACATACCTTAACAGATCTACGTAATGATGAACAAATTCAAAATGTGGTAGATTAGCCTAACGACTCATGCGGTAATTTAACACGCAGGCAAGGCTCTGGTTTGTAGAAAACCGGCGATACAGAGCTAAATGGCTAGAAATACCCAACGCCACTAAATCAAGTCGCTAATAATTACCGCGCGACGTGACCTGGGATAGGCAGACACGCTCTATAACTAACTCCAGTTCCATTTTCCGTTAACTCCGTGCCTAGCTTGCTAAGTATGCAAGCTATCGTAACATAGGTGCTTCAAGGAGCGATGCAAGTACAAAAATGCCTGACTGGGTTCGGAGAACAGGATGAAAGCTGGTGACTCACGTGAGGGATGTGAAAAACACATTTTACACAATTAATACCTTTCTGGAATATACTTCTGGTACATAAAATATAAAATACATATTTTCCCCACAAAATAGACCACTATTTACATAATATTTACAAGTGTATGCCATGCTAAAATGGCAGAAAGTCCTATAAAAATTAGGAAAAACATTTAGAATGCTTACACAATATGGAGGTGTAATGACAATTTTAAATTCTATGCAGGAAAGTTTTGGTTTTCGTTTAATATAAAAGCTGTTTAACGGCGCAAGTGCCGATCCTCTTGCAGAATTTCATAGCCGAAAATTTGAAATGATTCATAATGTTGCAATCGTGTGCGTCCTGATAGAATTGCTTATTAATCTCGTGTAAGAACTTCGTAAGTGGTTCTTACTTTGAGGTCATCATGAAGACATTTATTCCTTACAAAAAAAGTAGGCATCTGTGATGATATGCAGGCACGTGTTCTGCCCCACTACTTGTAATTAAACCTAACTTCCCAAACTTTTCCTTAGATAGCAGAAGGCCCACCAGCGGCCGAGCGGTAAAAGTCGCTGAACACTGGTAGTTCGGTCCGAGGTTCGAATCCCGCGAACGGGCTGGCTGCATGGGTGTTTTCGTGGTTTTCCCCATGTGTAACGTGTATACGAGCCAGTTTCCCTTAGAAAGTCCTCCACGAAGGCATCCCTCCCCTTAGGCAGATAGCCCTAGTGTGCTTTGCCATAATTAAATACACCATTAAATACACACGTAACATGCGTTAGATAGCAGGTGAAACTTAAATGTAGAATATAAATCAATTCAAAATCTAAGTAGAATAGTGCTGTATTAGCACGCTAAAGTTAGGCTAACTTAATGCTGACTCAAAAAAACCTAACAGTCGTTAAAATTATCCTAATTGGCCAACGGGCGTTGTACTACCGTAACAGCGAGATATCAACGAAACGTGCGTTGGCTAGCTCTCTGAATAAACCCAGAGATTCATCTGTTTAAGTACTCACTTAACTTTAAATTTACGTCCTGGCGAGGAAATGCGAGTTGAAGTTGAGGAGTTCCAGAAAGGTATCAAACTTAAAATAATTTGTTATGCAAAATAAGGGAAACCTTACATACTTAGGACCTCGGAATCTGAAGAAACGGATAAACCTGGAATACGAATCGATACTCCTTTTTTGGTATCAAATGGATTTCTAAGAAGTTTAGCCCAGAAATTCGCGGTTTTACGCTACAGTATTCGGGAGTTAATACGAAACAATTTAAATCGCTCCCCGCTTCTTTCTACCTTAATTTGACCTTTCTCGCTATCTCATTTACATTCGGGCATCAAAAGCGTGGGTGAAAAAAAAGTAATAGGAAAGTGCTAACTTAAAATGAGCTATTATTTGAAAATAAATAGATGAACCTCATAAAATAATCAGCCGAAGCTGTACAGAGACAATTAACGCAAGTTGGCTCTTAGCCCTACCTCCGACGTAGGTAGGCTGGCAATTAGTATGCTTGGCCGTAAAATAGCGAGCCTAAATATCAGAGAAACAGCGTGGTCGAACGGCAGAACAAATTCTCTCTGAAGTAACTCAGATTCCAGCTTAAATAGTACCTTTCTACCCTGCTATGCATATTGCGCAAATATATACTGCGCATTATGCAAAGTAGGGTAGAAAGATACTATTTAAACTGTCAGAATACTATTACACTGAAGTGACAAAAGTCATGGGATACCCTCCTAATATTTTGTCGGTCCTCTTTTGCCCGGCGAAGTGCAGCAACTCGACGTGGCATGGACTCCACAAGTCGTTGGAAGTCCCCTGCAGGAATATTAAGCCATGCTGACTCTACAGACGTCCATAAGTGTGAAAGTGTTGACGGTGCAAGGTTTTGGGCACGAACTGACCTCTCGATGATGTCCCAGAAATGTTCGATGGAATTCATGTCGGGCGATCTAGGTGGCCAGATCATTCGCTGGAATTGTCCAGAATGTTCTTCTAACCAGTCGCGAACAATTGTGGCCCAGTGACATGGTGGTTTGTCATCCATAAAAATCCCATCGTTGTTTGAGTACGTGAAGTCCATGAATGGCTGTAGTGAAGTAGCTGAATGTATCCATTTCCAGTCAGTCATCGGTTCAGTAGCACCAGAGGACCGAGTCCGTGCCATGTAAAAACAGCCCAGACCATTATGGAACCACCACCAGCTTGAACAGTGCCTTGTTGACAACTTAGGTCCATGGCTTCGTGGGGTCTGCGCCACACTCGAACCCTACCATCAGCTCTTACCAACTGAAATCTTGACTCATCTGACCAAGCCACGGTTTTCCATTCGTTTACGGACCAACCGATATGCTCACGAGCCCACGAGAATCGCTGCAGGCGATGTCGTGCTGTCAGTAAAGGCACTCGAGTCGGTCTTCTGCTGGCATAGCCCAAGGAAGACAAATTTCGCCGCACTGTCCTATCGGACACGTCCTCGTACGTCCCACATTGATTTCTGCGGTTATTTGACGCAGTGTTGCTTGTCTGTGAACATTGACAACTCTACGCAGACGTTGCTGGTCTCCGTCGTTAAGTGCAGGTGGTCGGCCACTGCGCTGTCCGTGGTGGGATGTTATGCCTGAAATTAGATACTCTCGGCATACTCTTGACACTGTGGATTTCGGAATGTTGAATTCCCTAACGATATCAGAAATGGAATGACCCATGCGTCTAGCTCCAACTGCCATTCCGCGTTCAAAGTATGTTAATTCTCGTCGTGCGGTCATAATCACGTCAAAGCCTCTTCACATGAATAACTTGAACACAAATGAAAGCCCTACCAAAGCACTTTGCATTTTATACATTTTCTACGCGATACTACTGCCATCTGTATATTTGCATATTGCTATCCCATGACTTTTGTCACTTCAGTGTATGAGCGAATCTCAAATAGTGTTCTGGCAGGAGAGAAAATAGAAAAGGCAATTAACAGAATAAAACAGGTTAGTTAAAACTAAATACGTCCTTATAAACATTAGTTACCAAAAATAACTTATGTTATATCCAGAATAAGTAAAAGGAATTTACCATTGCTCCCTTCTAGAGGGATATCACTGATGTTTGTAACATTGGATATCTTTCCTATGACAGCATCGACAATAGGTACCATCATGGCGGTCGTCGCCGTATTGCTTATCCACATGGATAGGAACATGGTGGTCAACATGAAACCTAGCATAAGCCTACAATAAAAGATACCCTCATCAATATTAAAATTAAAAGGCAGAGGATTCTGCAAAAATCTAAATAAAACAGAGTTTCAAAAATACATTTTATACATGCAAAAGTTTAACAATGAAGAATATAGCAGCTTCTTAAAAAGTATTTTTAACTATTAAATTAAAAAAAGTCGTGAAGAAAAAGAATAATTTATAGAAATTTCCTGTGATCGAACTCTAACTGAAGATTTCAAAAATAACACACTCGCTAATATTTAGCTGAACCAAGAAAAAGAATTTAAAAGCATTTCAAGTAAAGGTATTAAATTTTTATTCCCTTTTTGCACAACCTACAGATGCTGTTCGCACATTTTTTACACGACTTTGGTAAGCGGTAATAAAAACTCGTTTGCTGCAAAAGAAGTAATTGCAATTGTACTATGTTTTAAAAGTCACAATTATCGTCTGTGGCTTGAAAGTTTTGTTTTCATTCAAAATGGCGAATTTAACAAAGCGGTGGTTCGAAGGCTACATTTGCACTCTTTCCGAGGAGAAATAGGCATACTCCGTTATCCAAAAACGATGTGAGAGTCATGGTTTTGTGATATCTAAAGCGTCGATAGGTAATATCATCAACAAGAAAGGGAAAAAAAAACGTCCAATTGGAGCCTCAAGTGGGACAAAAATTCCAAACAAGTATCCAAGGAAAAAACGGACATCTTCGACTATTGCAAAGGTACGTTGGTTAATGTTAAAAGAAAATCTCCCTAGTGAAAGGACAGTTGCAAAGTCATTAAAATGCTCGGTGTCCACCGTAAACAAAATGATAAACGTTGGCTAAATCTTAAGAAAGCGAAAAAACGCAATGTGCGCCGTCTTCTTCCGAAGCATATCGCTCAACGCAGGATACGCTGCAGAATTCTATATGAGAAACACTTATCCAAAGAAAAATGGAAAACAATTGTCACAATAGAAGAAGCATGGGTGTATTTAAATGGTTGTAACAAAAAAAGAGCCATTTCTTATCATAAAAGGGGAGAAAAAAATCAAGTACATGGTTCAAAGAATCGAAAGAAAGTTTTTCTAAGGGATTCATGATGGTTGTTGGTTTTTCTTATAATGGCAAGTTAAAAATAAAGAGAGTGCAAAAAAAAAAAAAAAAAAAAAAAAAAAAAAAAAAAAAAAAAAAAGTCAAGATTAACTCCAAATACTATCAGGAACATATTTTATCGCCAATGTTTCTGAACGAAATACCATCGCTTTACCCACAGTGCCATCCATCTGTGAGACTCCATCAGGACAAAGCTACCAGTCACACATCAAAATCCGCTGTAAATTTCCTAAAAGAAATGGAACAAAAAACTGGTATGTAGGCTGAAATCCCTACTAAATCTCCCGATGTGTCACCTATGGATTTTTGTGCTTTGGAACTTTTAAAAACTGCATTATCCAAACGTTGTCCCAAAACTCTAACAGGACTCTGGAAAGCTGTTCGGATAGAATATCTCTTCTGCCACTTCAAGAGGCATTATTATCCTGGAAATTGCGGTGTCGAAAGAAAGTTCAGAACAAGAGATGTGAAATAGAACATTTAAAACACAAGAATTTTATGTAATTTAGTTTTGTGAATACAATATACTTCGTCTAAAAAATGTTTGAACAGCCTCTGTAAACAATAGGTTGTGCAAATGAGAATACATATATATATTTTAATATTTTTATTGAGGAATCGAAAAATAATCATTCTAAAATATAGTGGTGGTACTAAAACTTTTCAATTCTTGTTTAGATGGTAACGCGTTAGTCAAATGGTTGAGAACCGCTGATCTAGGGTTTTATGATAATTAATCCAGTTATTATTCCAAAGGGCGTTATCCCAGAGGGGATATTAATTTCGTTTTGGCATTTTTACGTTGGCTCACTATAAATGTCAGTTCACTTTTCAGATTGTTGCGACCAAATATTACAGCCCTGTGTTATATTTAAAGAAATTAAATAATGAAGAATCTGCATAAATGGGTGCATGTTTCTCGCCTTGTGGTAAAACAACCGTACCTAGAGCCATCCAATTTTGAATAACGTGAATTTTCCCCTGAATATGGTCATCTGAAAGCACAAATTTGGAATCTGGAATTTCTTCTATTATCTATTTCATAGTTCGTAAATCTTGAACGAATGTTTGATTAATAACCTCAAAGATTGCAAAACGAGCAGTGGCAACACTGTAAAAAAAAAAAAAAAAAAAAAAAAAAAAAAAAAAAAAATTATCTCCAACTCCGCGAGACTATATAGCGAAAATTCTAAGGATATACTCATTTAAAAATTATTTTGCGATATTGCTGTTGAACTAAATTTTATGGTTTAAGTGCGAAGAACGTGATATCACTACATAGTATAAAACAAAGTCGCTTTCTCTGTCCATATATCCTATGTATGCTTAAATCTTTAAAACTACGCAACGGATTTTGATGCGGTTTTTTTTAATAGATAGAGTGATTGAAGAGGAAGGTTTATATGTATAATAACATCCATTAAATAGTGGAGAAATACTGTTATTTTTGAGGTTTCTAATGCGATGTCGTAAATAACGACATTTTTTCCGCTTACATCGCAAACGCAGGCTGAACCCTACGAGATTTATGAAAATAATGTACTGAATATTGTTATTATACACATTGAAAATATTTGTTATTATACACATTGAAAAGGTCTACAGATTATAAAATTGTACAGATTAAAAAATTGCGGGACGTAGCGTTTGCGGCGGTACCGGCCGGCCGGGGCGGCGGGAGCGTGCCTATAAACTAGCGCGTCGGAGGCCGCGGTTCTCCCTATATCACTTTGAATTTAGCAGCGATCGGACGCGTTTATTATCGGAGCTCTCTAGCGAGGAAAATAACAATATACTTAATAAAAATGTGCTTTTCAGCGCGACAACGTATCAGTCATTATAAGTAAGTTACGATAAATAAAATCACTGAAAACTTTCATAATAAAGTGCACAATACTCTATTATGAAAGGATCACAGGATGTGGTACCGGAGAAGATGTATTGATTCCCCGAATCCCTCTGATATCGTCGGATTTACCCTTCCAATTGAAACGTTTACAGTTTCCGGTAAATACGTCTTTTGCAATGACCATTAATAAATCGCAGGGTCAAACCTTCAACGTTGCAGGCTTAGATTGGAGCGTTCACTGTTTTTCACGTGGCCAACTGTATGTCGCTCTTTCAAGAGTCACCTCTAGAGAAAACATGTTTGTATTGTCTAATGACAAGAAAGCTGTGAACGTTGTATATAAACACATTCTGTAATATATTAATGGTTGTAAAAATAAAATAAATAGGTAAAAATGTAAAAAGTAAATAAGTAAAAATGTAGTGTATGAATTTAGATATTCCAAAGATAGCAGGAAATCTTCATGGTATAGGGAAAGGGGAATTGTTTGACTCCAAAATTGAACGCGTGCGGGCCACGGGCAGTAATGAATAAATCAAAACTACTGGATCGATTTTATTCATTTTTTCAGTGAGTGACATAGGCTATATATTTTATACCCGTGCGAAGCCGGAGCGGGTCGCTAGTTTAATAAATAAAGGTAACACACAAAATGGTAGAAAACGTCCCTTTGGGCGTAATGTAAAATCTGAAAGCTTTCAGACTTTTATTTAATTGTTTTGGTTATTCTTTTTTATTATTATTTTTCCTTTAGTATCATTTCTGCTTTGGTCAACTCCCACCAGGTTTTAAATTAGTTAATGTACAGGGTGTTTATAATTAAAGAAACCTATTTCAAAGCTGCCTATAAGCGAAACGAGTGATCAGAAAATTATGAAATCTTGTGGCGGACTTAATGAAGGAATGAGAATTACAAATAGCATCACGAGAGGGCGTTTTGCTTTGAAAACCTGTAGCAAAAATGTAAATCTTTGTAGACATCACGCAGCAGCTGTTACAAAACCTACAAGCATTCTCGGAGACTTTTGCTTCCATGTGCTTGTTGCTCACAATGACGATAAGTTTACGAGGTCGCGCTTTGTTAGTAAAACTGTTTTACGAAAACATCAGGCACTTTCGTAATGTGTGGCCACCCCGATCCCCAGATCTCAATTCATGCGACATTTGAATATCTGGTAGGTCGTGTTAATTCAAGAATTTTACCTGATCTTAAAGCCAAAATTTCACGTCATGTGCTGAACATTTCCCAGAATACACTTCGGTCAACTGTGGAACATGTCATCTTGTGATTTCAAATGGTAGCTGAAAAATGGTAGCTATCATGTGGAACATGTTTTTTTAGCAACAAAATTTGCAAATTTGTAAAACTATTGTAAAACTGTAGCTAAATGTATAATTTATTATTATAATGCCCTCTGGTGACGCTATTTGTAATTAACTTTCTTTTAAAAGACATTCTTATCTAATTCAGAAGTCAAACAACAAAAATCAGCGTTATATTTTCAAAATTTTTACAGGACTAGTTTCGATGGTTTTACCGAACCACCATCCTCAGTTGCAAAATCGCAAATGAACAAGATAGTAAATGATGATTAGATAAGATAAGAAAGCTTGGAAGAATAAGCAAGTGGCGCCATCTGTTGATGAAACCAGAACTAAAACATAATTTCTTTAAAGGCCGAAGGCAAAGATGGATTGGAATTTATAAACGATCCTAATTCCAATCCATCTTTGCCTTCGGCCTTTAAAGAAATTATGTTTTAGTTCTGGTAAAGAAATTATGTTTTAATTCTGGTTTCATCAAAAGATGGCGCTACTTGCTTATTTTTGTCCAGGCTTTCTTATCTTATCTAATCATTATTTACTATCTTGTTCATTCGCGGTTTTGCAGCTGAGGATGGTGGTTCGGTAAAACCATCGAAACTAGTCCTGTGAAAATTTTGAAAATATAACGCTGATTTTTTGTTGTTTGACTTCTGAACTAGTATTTATTCGGCGTGTTATTGTGTCTTAACATTCTTATCTCTTCGTTAAATCCGCCACAAAATTTCACAAATTTCTAAT